AGAGAGAGAGAGAGAGAGAGAGAGAGAGAGAGAGAGTAAGTGGAGGACATAGAATATCCAAAGGCTTTTCCAAAGGATAAAGTCACAGTCCACTTTACCTTTCTTATATACTTTTCCTAAGTTAAGTGACCTGCCAGACGCAAACTCATCGACAAATCCAAACCCAAACCCCATACCCCACCCGATTCTTTCCATCTTTCATATTTTACTTTTAATAATATCTCGAATTTTTGCATTGAAATATAATTACTCGAGGATCAATTAGATATTTGTTAGATTAAGGATTAAGTACTTAGAATTTATGCAGTTAGGAAATAATACTTATGGGTGTTGCGTGTGTTTAATGGAAAATATTATTTTACGATACGTTATTTGATTTCTTTTCATTTTGGATTTTTTTTTGTCACGTTCAACAACCATCACTACCTATGTTTAATAACCATACGTTTTTTTTTTTTTACTTTGTTTTATCATTTCTCTCACACTCCCTTCCCTTCCCTTTCCCAGTAACTCGTCAGATCACTACTACTACTACCACCACCATATACTACGTCAATTTTTCTTCGTTTATCTACCCTTTTGTTTTCCTTCCATTTTCATTCGAATTTTCTTTTTTTATCTCCTTCTTTCTTTTTTTTTTTTTTTTTTTTTGATCGTTCTTCACTCGAACAAGCCAACGATAAGCGTTGTGTTGTTGTTGTTGTTGTTAATGCACCACGAAGGATAATCGTATTTGCATTCCATTTTGTTCGTTATTTTCAATGCAGTCGGTGATGTTATATGATTTTAGTCGATAACAGATCCTGGGTAGGATTGAATTATCAAGTAAAAGATATATATGTGTGTGTGTGTTGATTTCTATAGGATATATTTAAAAAATGATTACGTAGAGTAACGAATAAGATAAAAATTATTATTAATATTAATTCGTGCGTAAAATACATTAAGTTGCTTTTAAAATTCCATTAATTTGTGTTATTTCATATAGGAATATAAAAGTTTATTACATTATTTTAAATAAATATCAAAAATATTTGTGCTTCCCTAATCGATGTTACGTCGATGTATGTGTGATGATTGAAAAGTTATTTGCATTAAAGAAAAAAAAAAAAAAAAAGAAACTAATTATAAGTATGTTATATTTATCTTATCCTATTTTTATTTCTAAAATACAAAAAAATCATCATCCTGATAAAAATTAATCTTTAAAGATCAGATTCAATACTTTTTCAATCTACCTACATATGTAACACTCTAATCTATCATGACAATTAACTAATAAATGATTAATATAAATAAAAAAAATTACATATATATATATAAAAAGAAAAAAAAGAAATTATCATTATTATCATTATTATTAAACGTTCTCGTTAACGTATATGTAAATGACACGATAAATTTCAAAAGAGAATCATCATTCAGGTATAGAAAGAAGAGTACGATCTCACATACAAACATATAAACTCACACACATGTACAGCACACATCCATACTCATACAGTGAGAAAGAGAACCTTGTGAAAGGTCGGATAGATAGAGTAAGGCCATCATTAGAGGAAACTTTTTCATAGTTGGGCATCATCAATGATGATTATGATCATGATGATGATGATGATGATGATTCTCAGTCGCGTTCATTTTTAAATATCAAGCAACATTCGACGTTGGCATCTCACAACGACGACCTACGGTTTTGTCCGACATTTTTATTTTTTTTTTATTTCCTTTACTCCAATCCTAAGCTCGTTGAACAGGAGACTGTAATAATCCTTCTTTGAATGTACTTACACATACATATTATACGTACATACGTTTCAATTGCGTTTAAATATATTTATATATGCATACGTGTGTGTGTGTGTGTGTGTGTGGGTCAAGCTTAGGGTCGTACGAATGATTTGAAAAAAAAAAAAAAAAAAGAAAAAAATCGTGCCTGCCATGCCAAAGTCGCAATTACGCGTTTTGCGATTGCACGTTCATACTAACCGCTTCTAACTCTTTTCCTCCTCCCCCTCCTCCTCTTCCTCCTCCTCCTCTTCTATCTTTTATCTTCTTCTTCTTCTTCTTCGTTTTATTTCATGCCGTTAGAATTAATCCACGGCAATAGTGTGTGGATGTACGATTTTATTTTGAAAAACAAACACTTTCGTAAGATAAATTATTCAATATGATTATTTATTTTTCCCCCATAATTATTCTTTATTCGTAATATAATCGTTTAATTGATTATAATGATCCCCATTGTTATATTTCATCAGAACAAATATTTTTTTCGTTTTTTTTTATAATATATTTCGTATTATAAA